TATATATATCTATGTGTGTTGTATCAGTGTTCCATTATATATATATATATATCTATGTGTGTTGTATCAGTGTTCCATTATATATATATATATCTATGTGTGTTGTATCAGTGTTCCATTATATATATATATATCTGTGTGTGTTGGTTTTCTCATACTGCGAAATTATGTTTCTCTGCTGAATGATCTCAAAATATTGTAACTTTACTAATCCTATTTTATTATAAATAAAAATTACTAAAATATCACAAAACTTCAACTTAGCTCTTCGTAAACCATATGATACAGTTATAATATATTAAGCTACTACGTAGTTCTTGTGCAAAGGAAACAATTCATTCATTTACCATGTGATTATATTTCGTGTTGAAAATAATTTATGTTCTCCATCAGTACAATAATGTGTGTTAAATCAAGATTCTAATGAAAACTTCTAAAGCAAACAATTAACTTGCATAAATATTCTTAACAAGCCCGGTCTTTGTGAATTGCACATTGGGTTATTATCTGCACTCTGACCACTGCGGGAAACTGGACCCCAGATTTTAGCATTGTAAGTCCGTAAACTAACTGCTGCCCTAACGAGGGACTGCCTTTATGAAACTTTGGATCTTCGTGTATAATTTATTTAATTCAACAAATGCTCTATATCTAGTTTAAATTATCCGTATTTCTCCAGCATAACCGAAACTTATTTATAGTTTGAACCACCATTCGTGTAGTTTGCTGTTATTTATAGTTTGAACCACCATTCGTGTAGTTGCTGTTATTTATAGTTTGAACCACCATTCGTGTACAGCAACTACACGAATGGTGGTTCAAACTATAAATAACAGAAACTACACGAATGGTGGTTCAAACTATAAATAACAGCAACTACACGAATGGTGGTTCAAACTATAAATAACAGCAAATACACAAATGGTGGTTCAAACTATAAATAACAGCAACTACACGAATGGTGGTTCAAACTATAAATAACAGAAACTACACGAATGGTGGTTCAAACTGTTATTTATAGTTTGAACCACCATTCGTGTAGTTTCTGTTATTTATAGTTTGAAGCAATATTCGTGTAGTTGCTGTTATTTATAGTTTGAACCACCATTCGTGTAGTTTCTGTTATTTATAATTTGAACCACCATTAGTGTAATTGCTGTTATTTATAGCAACTACACGAATGGTGGTTCAAACTATAAATAACAGAAACTACACGAGTGGTGGTTAAAACCTTCAGAAATCAAAGGACTATTACATTCTTATGCGCAATATGAAATAAGCATTTTTTTAAAGTTTACCACTGATGTTGACATAAAGAGTATATAGACTATTTGAAGCGAGTTCGAAATAATTAAACTCAAGCTGAGAGGCAAAATCATTAATCGCTTTTGTTCACAAATACCATCTGTTCAAACGAAATATATTAGATTTTGTTAAATACCACATATATATACCTCGCAATCTGAGGGCCGCGGGTTCGAATCTCCGTCCCACCAAACATGTTCGCCCTTTCAGCCGTGGAGGCGTTATAGTGTGACGGTCAATCCCACTATTCTTTGGTAAAGGAGTTAGTTGTGGGTGGTGATGACTAGCTACCTTCCCTCTAGTCTTTCACTGCTAAATTAGGGACGGCTAGCGCAGATAGCACCCGTGCAGCTTTGCGCGAAATTCAAAACAAACCACAAAAATTATATATATATATTTATTACACTTACGTAACGGGCTTATGAACATTAGATTTAACCTAAGATTCAGAATATTAAGATTAATAATTTGATTGATTTTGATAATATACAAAATAAATTAAATGCTTTGAAAATTGTGGTATCCGCATTTGCACTTTTTATAATGTCAGAAACAAATTTTATATTTATTC